GTGTTCCCCCCCCCCCCCGGCCTATCTTGAGGCTCTATGCTGCACGTTGTATTTGATATTTTATGCCAATAAAGGTATTGTATTTGTACTGATAAACTTCAAGGGTTAGACAGCTTGTCTCCCTAGACCCCATCCTTTCCAACCTACTGTTCTGCTCAAAGTGGCTCCAACCTACTGTTCTGCTCAAAGACTATGAAAGAAATCTTCTATGTAATGTCTAGTGTAGTCCTGAGAGTAAACAAGTGGGAAGATTTTATGCTCACATAGTTCGATATTTTTATAGTCAACATGCAGCTCCTGCTGGCATCAAGAGGAACTGCATTCCAGTATAACTGTATCAAGATGTAGCGTATTCTCTCATGTAAGATGCTTCATATCTGAAAACGTTATAAGGAGAAGACCCTGTGGAGTTTTCTTTTGTGTGGCCTGTGAAAGCAATTATATCTTCTATCTATACATTTCCCTCCCCCCCCTTTAGAGAAACATATTAATACACAAGCTCAGCTGCCAAACTAGTCAAATCTTTGCTGTTGTAAAAGGAAATTTAAGCCAAAGCATTCCTTCATGTGAAATGCCAAGTGACTTAACTCCGGGGCTCTTGCATTCACAGACAAGAACAATTATTTTGTAAGTAACAGTAAGGTGGTGACATAAGCCAGGAAATTCACCCTGTTATGACTGAAACTCCATCCTCACACCCTTCCTTCCCCTGCAGTGCCTAGGTAGCGAAAGGGGCCCAAGCAGCAGGTGATTCTGTTTCTCATATTGACTGTTGTAACACACTGCCACAACTGTGTCAGCAAGGGGCATGAGATCTGACAGTATTTTTAATCACAATTTCTTTTGAGCTCTTAATTGTTAATGATTTAGTGTAAAGTTGTGTTTCTGTTTGAGGAATTTCGCTTTCCTGTTCTGGTAATGGAAAAAGAGTTACAAATCCTTTCGTGATTTATGATACAGCAAGAATTATAGTTCAACTAGCCTGCTACCCGTGCTTCGCTACGGTGTTTAAATTCTGTAAATCCAGTTATAATACTGATGACGTGAAATTTGAAATGAGGCAGACTCAACATGGGTTCTGTAAGGGAAGATCTTGTCTCACTAACCTGTTAATGTTCTTTGAGGGGGTGAACAAACATGTGGACAAGGGGGATCCAATAGATATTGTTTACCTTGACTTCCAGAAAGCTTTTGATAAAGTTCCTCATCAAAGGCTCCTAAGTAAGCTCAAAAATCATAGGATAAAAGGACAAGTCCTTTTATGGATCAAAAACTGGCTAATTAATAGAAAACAGAGAGTGAGTATAAATGGGCAGTTCTCTCAGTGGAGGGTGGTAAGCAGTGGGTACCGCAGGGATCAGTACTTGGTCCACTGCTTTTTAACTTGTTCATTAATGATTTGGAGTTCGGAGTAAGCAGTGAAGTGGCTAAATTTGCGGATGATATGAAGTTGTTCAGGGTGGTGAAAACCAGTGAGGATTGTGAGGCACTCCAAAGGGATCTGTCAAAGATGGGCGAGTGGGCGTCAACATGTCAAATGGGGTTCAATGTGGCCAAGTGCAAAGTGATGCACATTGGAGCCAAAAATCCTAACTATAAATACACGTTGATAGGGTCCGAAATGGCAGAGACTGACCAAGAGAGAGATCTTGGAGTTGTAGTAGATAACTCACTGAAAATGTCGAGACAGTGTGTGACTGCAATAAAAAAGTCCAATGCTATGCTGGGGATTATTAGGAAGGGTATTGTAAACAGATCAGCCAATATCATAATGCCGCTATATAAATCAATGGTGCGACCTCATCTGGAATACTGTGTGCAATTCTGGTCACCACACCTTAAAAAGGATATTATAGCTTTGGAAAAAGTGCAGAAAAGAGCAACCCGAATGATAAAAGGGTTGGAACACTTTCCCTATGAGGAAAGGTTAAAGCGCTTAGGGCTCTTTAGCTTGGAGAAACGACGACTGAGGGGTGACATGATTGAGGTTTATAAGATTATGCATGGGAAAGAGCAGGTAGAGAAAGAGGTACTTTTCTCCCTTTCTCACAATACAAGAACCCGTGGGCACTCCATGAAATTGCTGAGCGGTCGGGTTAGAACGGATAAAAGGAAGTACTTCTTCACCCAAAGAGTGATTAACACTTGGAATTCACTGCCACAGGAAGTGGTGGCAGCTACAAGCATGGACGGCTTCAAAAGGGAATTAGATAAGCATAT